TTCCCCACACAGAGAGGACCTAACATTTTACAGCAGACTCACTGGGGAGCGGGCTTTTCAGTGACAGACGCAATGACATGTGTGGCACTGCTGAGCAAAAGAGGAACTGTTTTTCAGAAGATTAAGGCACTTTTTCCTTGAGTCTTTCAGCTGAATACTTCAAAAGACAGCCATAGAGGCAGGGCTGAAAGACAACTAAATGAATTGATTTGATTATTTTTGGGTGAGTCTGGATCAATCGCATTCTTTCCCCTCGTCAGAACTGTGTCGTTTGGCCCTGAGGGCGGAAGGGTGTAATTATTGGAGGCAGGCGGAGCACGCCATTTGCCCAGGCCTGGAGGGGTTCTGATTTCAATGCTCCATTATGAACCGTGTTAACAGCAAATAACATAAATTCCTCTCGGAAAGAACACACACTGTTACACACAGACACATCGTATTTGAGCAACTATAAACACACTGAGAGACAAAGAAAATCCTTCAGGCAGAGAGGAAAGGAAAAAAAGTCAGTGGGACAAACGCACACATTCCATACTATTCAAACCGTATATCACCCAGCCACTGAAAGGACAGTCTAAATAAGAAAATATTCTGAGATCAACTAGACTTCACTTGGATCTGTGCCGGTGCAATGTCTGTGTTTGTATAGATGTAAAAAACTCTCAAATTCTTCATATCTGTCTAAATGGCATTGGACTTAAAAGTCAGGCTGCCTGGCAGTAAAATGTATACAGTACGGAAGCACGTTTGTATAAACTGTGACGGAGGAAATCGATCCCTCACACTGCTCCACATGAGGAGAGCCAGATGGATCCTGTTAACAGTTCTTAAATGAATTCTACACTTTCTAAGTCCTGTGACATTCAGGGAAGCTGTTACATTAAAATTCCCAGCGTTTTGACAATTCCAAACAAATTTACACAGACCGAGCGGAGCTGTCGAGGCGGAGAGCAAACTGGGTTGTCTGCACTGTGTGTCAAGGTTATCACAGGACTGTATTTGTCTAAGACTGACAGGACCCCGTCTGAAACCTAACCCCACATTAGTTATTGTGGGATAAAGCTTTGTGGGGCAGGAAAGGAAAAAAGGAAGGAGGGAGAGAGAAACTTAAACCATGATTTATTTTAAATAGCCAAATGTGGGGTGCAGAAGTTACCTGAACATCTGTAAGGCAGGCAGGCTAAGGCAGGCCGAATGCTGAAGAGAAGGCCTTTTATTTCCTTATGTGATATGGTAATTAGCTGTTATTTTTACCAGTGTTGCAGTTATTTGTACTAAATTCTTTACAAAATACACATCCTGAACTAAAACCAAGCAGCATCCTTTCAAGGGAAATATTAACTTTGGAATATTTCCAATATGTCCAAAACACTGTCAACACAGATCTCACAAGGATTAACCACCTGCCAAAGCAGACCACAGTGAGCAGGTGTATATAACTATTCATTTTCGCAAAGCAAACATTTATGGTTGGTTTGCAAGGCAGGATGATTTTGGGTTGGGGCCACTGTCAATGATCCCCTTAGCTACAGTATGTTGGCTTGGACAGTAGGTGCATGATGGGTAAATATTGAGATGGTTCCTCAAGTGTGTAGATCCTGGGGCTGAGCTAAACAAACAAAGGTTGTTCCGAGTGTGAGAGCAATTAAAGAAAATACCATCCAGAGAACATATTCTACACTGAAGAACTTTTTCCTGGAATCTCTTCCTGTTATTGCCTTATGTAGAATGTAATCATCAATACAGTTGAACAACCTAAGAGCCAAGGAGAAATGTGTCCTGCACTGCAGAAGTGCGGATGACCTTACATGCTGGTCATTCACACTGTCAACACTGGACTGAGGAAAGAAAGAGAAACAAGCGTATGCATGGAGAACACTACGCCTTGCATCTTACTTTATACAATGGAGATTTTAATAAAATGAGGCATAAGGAAAAAAAATCTAATGGATTTGTCAACATAAAGAAGAGATGCTGTGGCGGAGAGAAATCTAAAGTTAAGTAATTTGCACAAGACTTTCATTATGTGGGAACCTTGTGGAATTGAGAGTTATCCCCCAGCTTCTGCATTTTCCCAGAACCGAATTAAGTGCAGAGATGAGATTAGTTTGCCCAGAGATTGAATTGGACATGCCTCCGGATTTTACTGCCGTGATACACAAATAAAGCATGATACAACTTTGCTAGAGGCTGAAATGTCAAATGCAAACCCGGAAAAAAATCATGACCAAATTGAATGTGCTCTCTATACTAAAAACACATTTTGCGAAGTACTTAAAAATATTGATTTGGTTTATTAAAGTGACACAACATGCAACACAGATTAAAACCACTGTGAAACCTTGTAAAAAAGGTTCACCAAGCAGTGGTCAAAGAACTTATATTTAGTGTGTAATTGTATTTTATTAATGTCACTTGACTTCCTCGAGCAGAGAAGAGGCGTAGCAGCAGTGTGGCCAAGGGGTTGAAAAGTCACACAGTCAAATCAGACAACAGCCAATAATAACCCTGTCACAGTGACCTTGATAAAGAGATCCAACAGCCCTATCTGTGGGTATTTCCGGAGAGGAGTGTCAGCTGCGTTAATGCCTAAATGGGTAATGCTGTCACTTTAAAACAACTTTTAAATAAAACAGAAGCACCAGTCTTTAACTGAGGCGAGTGACGAATTTCCAGAGGGGAGATGAGGATGAGTGTTCACTTCTGCCCCTGGACTTACTTGTAGATAACCACAATCTTCATCAGCTCTCACCTCCTCACCTTTTTGACTCGTTCTGTAGCTCACATTTTCAGTATTAACAATATATTCCTGTTTTTCTGTTTCCCTCTGAGCACGCTTTGTATTACAACCATTCCTCTCTCTTTCTCCTCCTGAAACTTGACCTAATGTACTGTAACTCCTTCTCACACCTAACATCATTAAAAAAAAACAATAATAACAACAACAGCAACAAAGAAAGTAGGAGCCGTTGGCAGGTTTTTTCCCACACAGGCCAGACCAACCCTCACCACTACTGCAGACTCATTTGGAATGCTACATTTTAGTACTCAAAAGCCTGGAAACTGAGCAATGGTCGAAGGGGGCAAACATGCCATGAATTAAATCTGTGATTCAGAGCTGGTAATGTTCCTGACCTTGCAAACTGTCAAACTCTTCTATTTGTTCAAATCACACTCCATTACAACTTTAATAGTACAACATTACAGCTTTATTTAGCTCCGTCATCCCCACATTTCCCCCTTCGAAGCAGAGAGAGAATAATTATGTATCTTTCCATCGTCTAGGCAAAATGATGAGTATGAATATCACATCTAAAGAGAGAGATGGAAAGATAAATAAGAGCAGCGGGATAGTTGAATGTTTTCTGTTGGTAGGGCAGGAGCATGAAAGCATAAAGTGTATTGAAACTAGGAAATATTGTTATTCCAGTAAAGATGTAGGTCATTCCAGAACAGAGTTTTTATTACTCTGGCTGTAGATATCGATTGTAGGGTCACTGGGTCGGCAGAAGGGAAGTAAATGAAAATGGAATCTAAGTGATCACCTGCTATGTAATGCAGTTTCTCTTTATTACTCTTAGATAAATATCATAGATACACATTCATGTCTGCAATAATGTGGATTGAGTGTGCTGCTTCATCACTGAGATCTAACATATAGGGGTCACTGTCAGACCCTCATATGTTTTAATTTCATTACAGCATAAATAGATAAATATGATACACTGATGTTCTTGTCGCAGTTAACGATCTCCGGGCTGGCATTTTTATCTGAAAAATCCATAGGGTCAATCCTTAGGCCACGGCACGCAGATACCACTGATTTTATAATGCAGGAATAAAAATGATGAGTTCCCAACCCGGTGTAAGGGCCTCAACTTTAAGTCAAATCTTATACTCCCTCCTTTTCTTCCCTGCCAACTTCTACAGTACTTTCACTTTTTACTGCACAGCACGGGGCTTTAAATTAGTTTAGCCCTAAAGCCAAATGTAAAATGTGGCCTGAACAACAAAAGGCTCATTAAAACATACTATTACACTCACCATATGCAGGCCCACCAGCATTGGGAGTATGACCTGTGCTGTGTACTACGCTACAGAACAAGAACGCAGGCTGTAGAATATCAGCACAGGCTAAAGTTTCTTGGTTAGGCAGCTGCTCACTTTCCCTTCCTTGTCTGCCCTCATCCCACTCATGTCACACTGAATGATCCCACACTAAGTGGATGCATCTGTGTGGTAGCAGCTCCACAGTGCCAATTGGAGAGGTGGGAGGAGTTGTTACCATGGCACTACAACTAAATGTGCTTCTATCAGGTTGGTGATTGGACGGGTTAGAGGCCAGATGAAGGTTTAAGAGTGACTCTGGATAGAATGTTGGTCAGACCCAGAGGTGAGTAGGTTTGAGAGGGCTCACTGTGTCCCTTCCCTTCTTTTATAACCGAAATGGCTGATGGACATACGGAGCACAGCAGTGGTGGCTTAGCTCAAACATGTTGGTACATGATTGTATTCATACAAATATATGAACGTTCAAAATATAATTCATTTTCTAATATGAATAATTCACTTTGTTTTCTAATAACAACAATATTGTATTATTGCCCCGTTTTAGATACAATAGCAACAGGTTTGCAATCAGCAAGCAATCTGAGTCTGATTGCACACCTGTTGCTATTGTAATTAGAACTGGGCAAAAATACAGTATTTTGCACACACACACACAACCACCATATGTTACCCACAGTTAGAGAACAATGGGGGCGGTAACAACTGCACTAAAGTGAGGCTAATGATTATTATTGTTATTCTGACGGTTATTTTAATTCTGCAAATTGCCATAATGTTTTTTGCTGTCCACATAACAAAAAAGACACAATTTTGCTCTTTTTCACATTTCCAAAAGCATCCTTTGAGATGGCTGCACACATACATTAGATACTGTACTGCGCTGACAGGGAACCAGGCAGCAGCAGACATATCGGGCTGAGCCATGTTACCTTGTCACATCTCATGAGGCCCAGGTAGCGGAGGGACTTGCTGCTCTGAGCGATCTGTGTGGCTCCCTGGTCTGTGATGTCCTTACACCAGCCGGCATCCACAGTCTCTATGGTGCTGCTGTACTGGCCTATGGCTATCAGAGCTGTGGAAACAGGAGGGAGAGTGAGAGAGGGGTGAGGGTAAGGAAGGAGGGGGAAAAACAAGAGAAGGTGTTAGTCTGACACCCGTTCTCATGCAAATGCAGCAGCATCATCCTCCCATAGAGACGCACAGTAATTCCAGATGGAACCAGTGTCATCTGGCCAGCTGTGACAAATACGACAATGTTTGCACAACACCTTGGAATTATCCACACATACAAGGTAACACACTGAAACACACACATCACACACAACTATGTTTGTTCAGACTGCTGCAGGATTCATCCATTAGAGCATTGGCAATAGTCACAGCACTGAAAGGCAATGACATCGTGCCAGGGTATGATTTAATTATGATGGTGTGTATGTGAGCGTGTGAGTGTGTGTTTGTGTTTACTGCTGGTAGATAGGGCAGAAACATTGTGACAGGGTGAAGAGTATCCACAGAAACAAATATGTGTCAGTGTCTGGGGGCTTTGTTACAACCTAGAGCATGTGTGCATAACTACACACATAAACACTCATGCACACACGCAAACAAACACAAACCTCAGAAATGGGTTCTTTTAATATAGTCTTAATTTATTTTTCAGCTGAGCACATATTAAATTGTGCAGCTGACAAACCAGATGAGATCAAATTGTCTGTTATCTATCTCAAGTAAAGACATACTCTCTGTTGCATTAACAAACAAACATACACAGAGACACAACAATCCTCCTCATCAATCTTCGACCCGTCAATCGTTGGGCAGATGGAGGAGACCTGTGCGCCACCAGTCGATTGATAGTGCTGCTCGGTGATCGATTGGTAAGGTCTGAGCTTTGTTCTCCCCTCTCTCACAACCACCACTAATGAGAGTGGGACGGGAGGAGATGGAGCGAGGGATGAGAGAAAGATGAAAGAAGGAGGGTGAAGACAGAGAAAGCCTTTGACAGCACCTTCAAATCCTTACTTAGCCCTTATGTTGTTTTTTCATTACGGAAATCTATTTCACCTCAAACTTTTTCACAAACAAGATAGAGACTCAAACATCTCCACTTTAACCAGCAGGGAAAGAATATGTTTAAACTTTTTATGTATACAAACATTTTAATGTTTAATCTCTACCTGTCTTCTAAAATGTTGCCGTATTTAATCAAATGTAAACATAGAATTAGCAGATTGTTGATGTCGCTGCACATTGGGTAACTTGTTGTTCAAGAATGTGTTTGTGTGTGTGTACACGAGTGTGTGCTTACACTGCGGAGCGGGAGTTTGTTTCCGCAGGAGAAGGGAAATGAATAATCTTACGCTTTTTGAATCAACTGTATGTATTTAACCCTTTTTCCTCATGTGCAGCTGGAGCTAGGTAATGTAGAGTTTCCTCCACACACACACACACAGGAACCATCTTGTGTACAGTAGGTAACATATGTAACATATAGCCTTGGGCACTTGGGTGCTCGACATGTGGTTCCCTTTGTGCTCCAGCATGCTCTTGGATGCCATGCATAATGGCCCATTATGACTGAACAGGCAGTAACATGGCTTTGAAGCTACAGAATGTTTCATGTAAAACGGCACCATGGGGAAAAGGCTCCATCAGGCCAGATGGGTTCAGAACACACGGAGTAGCCATTTTGTTTTTTGACTGGCCCTGACCCGGTAAAGCATTCTAAAAATGGAGACGCCTGCATTTTTCTATGTGTGTTTGAGTGTGTGTGAGATTGGAAAAACGTCAAATAGGTGAATGGCTCCCCATCCTGATTCCCTTGTCATGTCCAATCACATGATCCCAAACTCGATTACCTGGGCTCAGACCTCTCGTCTGATGTTGAGACACACATATTGCTGCTGTTAAAACCTCCTCGCAGTGCGATTGTGAGTTTTCTGAGAAACAGGGAGATCAAATAAAAGAGGAGAGCTTCACAGTTAACCGAATCCAACAACAGAACTCCCTCCACTTCCCTTTCAACAACTCCAAGACCCTGTTTCTTCCACTTCACCGTTACTTCTTTCAACCTGACAAAGTGAGCGGATTGAAGCAGACAGGGTGCCTACCATAGTGAATCTATAAGAAGTGTGTGAATATATTGTCCGTGCATATCCTGATTACTGGGCTGCACTTACCTAAGTACACAAACCTTCCTACTCGAAATTAGTGAATTACAGGCTTTTGACTTCATAAAGAAAAACATGTGGTGGTAAGAGATAGCAGCAGGGAGAAAGAGAAGAGCTAATAACACTAAAGAACATATTGTTATGCTCTCACGTTGGTCAACTGGAGAGTCAGATAATGGCTTTGTCAAAACGAGCCAAGTGTTAGGCTATTTAGACTTGTTTAGTACTCCATCAACAAGTTCATCTGGTCACCATTAAATCTAATATCCCCGTGTGCTCTGCCTCTCTCCCTCTGCCTTTGATCCTCTATCAGGAGACTGTAAACTCCAGCTACTCCTGGTGGCAAATGGAAATCGTTGGCTACTTTTCAGAAAGAGAAGAGCTTTAAGGGAAACCTTTTAACTATAATCAAAAACAGTTTTGGTCACCTTGTCAGAGATGGAGAGGGCAACTGAACCTGTTTTAGAAGAGAGAGTAAATAAAAGAACAAACAGAAGAGGTGTTTTACTTTTTAATATTGGGTTTCAAAATGATTTGACTGGCAGTGTATGGGACCATAAGACCAGGAAATTGTATATCCTGACTGACAAGGATTTTCTGTCCTAGAAATAGATGAAGCGATATGCAAGAGAAGTTAAGGTGAAAAAGAGGTGGAAGAGTCAGAGAAAAAGTTAGCAGAAAATCCCTTTCTGGCAGCAGGAGCTGTGACTGAGTGGTGACTACACACTCACAGGCGGTAATGAGGACACACTCTGCTGCCCAGGCTGGAAATGGCTTTCGAATCTGGCTCTGTCTGTGTGTATGTGTGTTTACACTCCCTCTTTAGTGTGAAAAGAAACAGAGAGACTCAGAGATTGACCTTAAATCCATGATATCATTCATTTTGAGCATGGCACATTTCACCTGTCTTTTACTGAATCTGTCATTTGGGGATTAACTTATGTCATCATGCGAAAAACAGGTGGGGATCGTATTCTAAAGCAACTGTTGCAGTTCATTTAAGCAACTGGGATTTTGGCCAACACATCTTCTTACTAATCAATCACCAAACAACAAATCGATCAATGGATCAATATAAAGTGTCATGAACCATTTAGTCCCTCTAGGAAGCTGGGTCAAATACTGAGCCTGCAAACACTCATGGTAGTTTGCTTTCCAATTCTTTTACTAAGACTTTCTCAAATGTTAGAATTTAAGGGGAAGGCACTACTCATAGCTCTTAGTGAAGAAACAAGGTGACAAATATCGAGCAGAGGTGAATAACCAAGTAAAACCTCAAATCTTCTGTGTTCCATTAACTTCTCCATTATCTCTAGACAGAGATTCATAACCTATTACTTTCCCATATCAGGCACAAGCTGTTATCAAAAGCCATAAATAGCGGATTTATCCAGACAGAGGAGCGGCTCTGGGGTAAAGTAACCACATTCTTAACAGAGGGGTCAGGAGTTGGTCAATCCTGTGATGACCGCAACGTGAGAAGAAACCTTCCTTAATCAGGTTATTCCACTATCTCCGTACCTGACCTCAGAGCTTCAGGGGTTAAGCATCTTTTACAGGCTTATTAGATATTCACTTATTACATTCTCCTAAATGATGGTGTGCCATTACTGCTATCTTATTGCTCTGAATCCATCCCCAGGCCTGTCTGCTGTAACCCTATACACCATATTTTAGCCGCTGATGAAGACAGAACGCTTACGAAAGACATGATGGTATATGGTGGTTAAGATTTACTGTGGTGCAGTGTGTGCATGTGTGCAGTGTGTGTGTGTGTGTGTGTGTGTGTGTGTGTGTGTGTGTGTGTGTGTGTGTGTGTGTGTGTGTGTGTGTGTGTGTGTGTGTGTGTGTGTGTGTGTGTGATTATGGCAACAGGGATAATGCAAAAAATGGCTTATTATGGCTGATGTATTCCAGAGAGCACAACTGTCATGTCTAATGTGAAAGACATCCACTGTGCTGCTGCATGCCCAAAACCAAAAGAAACTCAGTTTTCATTTCTTGTCTTCCGAATTGGTGTAAGTAGTAACAAGGGATGCAAAAGCTATTTTTTAGGGCGGAAATTACAATCTGTATGTTTTCCTTCCAATTTAGCAAATTGTCTTACCAGTACTGACATGGATTTTTTGCAAGGAACATGGCCAAGTTAGTTTCCCTTTTGCGGTTTCAAATCCTTTAAAGAAAAGGAAGGGCAATAAGGGTGCAGGACTCAAGTATGTCCAAGCAGGACTGTGCTGATTACCGGCATTTAAACAGCTGACTTACCAAGCTTTCCTCATGCTGATTTAACAAAGATTTGGTGAATTATCAGGAAAAAAAATAGGCTGAATTTCAGGTTTTTTCATTTTTCTTCAATGGATCCAATCCCAAACAAAGAGACACATGATGAAGTGCATGGACAAAAGGTGAATGACCTTTCAGATGTTTAAATTGATTATGGTGTATCATTATTGGATCCCTTTTCTGTGAGTAAATATATAAGTATGTACATGTGTGTATGTTCCCATGTGTGTGTGTAACATTTGTGTACTGGTTTTAACCATGAGCAGCAAAGGGAAAATGCTCCCACAGGATTGTGTTTACATGATTGTACATACACATGCATGAGCACATATGTACACCACACATGAGTGTAAAAAACTGTCAGGAGACCTCAATGAGCACCATGTGGATGTCACTTACCTCCTTTGATGCCTATCTGACCTGGCCCAGCATTGGCCCCATGGTATGATTGATTAAACACACTATGCTCACCTTCAAAGCCCCCAGCCAAACTGACTAGGGTCAAGCAGAGTACCAGAAATAATTCAGTAAACAACATACCAAATAAAGCTTTTGAATCACACACGCAAGGAGAAGAGAGAGGGACTGTTTTGTTGGCTGGGAATTAACCAATTAA